AAGAGCTATAACTTCAAGGGACTGCCCTGTTTTCCACTATTGATAGGTGGCCGTCTTATTGATCTGTTCCTATGTATTGGTGGGGAATAGTTCACTTTCCATCTCTGATAGATCTCCACCTTTCACAAGTTTTGGTTTTGTTTTTACTGTAGTACATACAGAGAACCTAAAATAAATCCCGCATTAGGGGTTACTCGTACATTTCTAAGCTTGAGGACGTGAGATATATTCATATGGCTCCTCTTGGCAAGCTGTCATTTGGTTGAAAATTGTTCTTAGAAAACAGAACGGAAGCCTTGGTTGGCTTCCTTTATAAGCTTACTTTTCTGGCCATAAGAACATGTTTTGCTTTGCTTCTTCGTTTTTCAGATATGGACGAATGCAGCATAAGGAACATGTGTCTGAACGGGATGTGTATCAATGAAGATGGCAGTTTCAAGTGTATTTGTAAGCCTGGGTTTCAGCTGGCATCGGATGGGCGTTATTGCAAAGGTTTGTGCTAGAAAATTCGAAACCATTTTCTTCACATTCTTTTTCTCCTCTCTGCATTGTCTCATCTTCCCTTGTTTAGAAGAACCACCTTTGCTGGTTGAGTCCTTGCATTGGAAGTACCCTCGATTCTGGCTTAGGAGATTTGAGTGGGAATTCTTGGGTCTAGTCACCTAGAGAGTTCCAGCTTCGGTCCAGAGACTGCTTTTAATTCAGAGACAGTATTTAGTGTCTTCTCCAAGCAGCCTGAAAGGTTGCTTAGTCGTCAACCCACTGGCTGATTGGTCTAAATACACATGTGGACATATTTTGAATTCAACTGAGTTCCAGTCGGGGAACAGTGGCAGTTAGGCTTCATGATGACCCTTTGCCACACTTTCCATCTCTTTGGCTGCCCCTCTACTTTACCAACTATGAGGTCCTCCTCCAGTGGCTAGTCTTTCCTGACAACCCCCCTCCAAGTGTGGAAGACGAAGTCTGTCCATCCTTACATCGAAGGAGCACGCTAGCCGTCCTGCTTCCAAGACAGATTTGTTTGTCCTTTTGGCAGTCCGTGCTGCTTTGGTTCTACGATAATACACCCTAGAACATGCTTAGTAAGGAGCCTCAGACTCAAAGCAGGAAGTCCGCGCTGATGCTGCATTATAAGCCTTCTGTTGGTAATTTCAGAGGCAAGGATCGCGCGTCCTACGTGCCCGGGACTGAGAAGGCAGCGTGAAGTCCTCTGGCTTCTCTTCTCTGAGTGCCCCAGATAGCTTGGAGGAAGGTTAGGGTAGAAAAGGGAGTCCTAGGTCTTTGGTGAGATGCAGACTTTCTCCTGCCTAAAAAGAGCTTCAGGGTTTGATTTATTTAACATTCTTTATGACCTTCGTATCATTGACTCTTAATTGTTTAATTGTGTCTCCGTAACAAGGGGAACAGTTCTAATTTTCCTGTACTTCTGAATTCTATACCGGGAGGAACCTATAGTTGGGAAGATAAGATTAACACCTGGGAAAAGTCTACTCCGCCCCACAGCATAGAACAGAGGGCTGAATTGTGAAGATTAAGTGCTGCACAAGTAAAATAGAAGGGGTGGGGAATTATACTGGGATATTCGGTAGTTGGCGTCTGAACAGAATATCAGAAGGAAATGTGAAAGCCCCTTTGTGAGCAGCACTTCGGTGAGAACACCCACTCTTCTGACCTAACCCCATGCGCACCAAGATTCACCGACTGTGTGCGGGCTGCTGCCGGGAACCTCGCCACAGCCTCCCAGCATTCAGTCTGTCCCACGGATGTGCGGATAGAACTAGTCCAGCCACATTCTTATCTCATTGGGGAAGCTGGGTTTTGCAATCATTTGCAACCCATGAGATGGGGTCTTATCAGTCAATGGACTATTCTATTCCTTTCGAAGATTTAAAAGATGTGCTCCTGGCTTTAGCTTTCTGGCTTAGCCACTGAGGTAGGGTTAGTGTGACAAAGAAAACGCTCCAAAGGTGATCTTTGTCCTTTTCCTCTACTGAAGAACCCTGGGGAGGCTGGCAGGGGCCTGGACCGTGTTCCATCTTGCTTCATGGAGGGCTGCCATGTCTCAGAACTAACTCGATGGCACTGAGCAGCAGTGGTGACAAAAGCCTAGGACACAGACACTGTAACAAGACCTAAAAGACGAGCCAAACAGAGAAAGAATGAAGAAGGCATTTTATACTAAATTTCTATCCCAGGATTGCTCCCCTGATGTCATGAGACGAGATGTTTTGTTAGTGCTAACTACTTAGTTTTGAGCCCACAAACACGGGTTGTACTGGAAGCTGAAGTCGCAGCGTTTATCTTTCATGTCGACTCCTCTGATGTACCGCACGGCCTCCCTGGCCACGCTCTGAATGTTGAGGTCTCTCCTGCTATTAAAATCCCCGTGTTGTATCACTATCCATATTCAATGGCCTACGTGTGGCTTTACAGGCGGTAGTGACCACGGTGTGTAGCGTTTGTTGCAACTGAACAAAATAATGGCTGGAAGAACTGAACCAGTGGGCGTTCATGTATTTAAATATAGCTGCCATTTAAAAATACAATCTGTACATGGAACCTTGGATCCTCTGAATGCATTTCGTGCCAAATACCACAAGCTAACTCAAACACAGAGCTGTTTCACTCTCAGTTTGCCTTCTTAAGGTAAGCAGAGAGGAAACGGTCACACACCTAGTTGAATATTGTAAAAGGAATTGTTGGACACGATTTTCTTCTAAGTGTTAATGCTTTCCAAAACACAATGAGCATCATTTCTTACTTCCCTATATGAACGAAAAGTACATCTCTGCTATTAGGGGTGGATGTCCTATCAAGCCTTTCACCCGCCTCACTAAGTATGCACGTATGATGCTGTAAAAGGTTCGTGACGTTTACGACAGGCTTTTCTTTATTAGCGGCTTCCAATTGCATAGGATGGTGGTGTTGGCCAAGGATGGACATCAACATCATCGGCGTTCATTTTTTTCACTCTCTTTTTTCTGATGCTCCATTAAAGATCTGGTTGTAGATCTCTTAAAGTTGAGCCAATTGTCCCCGAGAGCTGTGGCCTAGGTGATACTGGAACGGACTCCAGTCTGGGTGCTGAATGGCCAAAGGCAAAACTTCCTGTCCGGGTCGGAGACAGTTTTTGCTTCTGAGCTGCGTGCATAGTCACCCAGCACAAACTGCCATGGGAAGAGCCTTCATTCTTTTTTTTTAATCATTTTATTGGGGGCTCCTACAATTCTTATCACAATCCATACAACCATCCATTGTGTCAAGCACATTTATACATTTGTTGCCATCATCATTGTCAAAACATTTTCTTTCTACTTGAGCCCTTGGTATCAGCTCCTCATTTTTACCCCTCCCTCCTCACTCCCCCTCCCTCAAGAACCCTTGATAATTTATAAATTATTATTATTTTGTCATATCTTACACTGTCCGATGTCTCCCTTCACCCACTTTTCTGTTGTCCATCCCCCAGGGAGGAGGTTATATGTAGATCCTTGTAATCAGTTCCCAAGATTTCATTCTTTAGCCATCTTTCTTCCTTTGTGATTTTGTGATTCTCATTTTGTACCATAGAAACCTTAGCTGAATATTATTAAAGTAGCTTTTTATGGAAAAGAAATCGGTTCAGACAGTCAATCCCTCCCAATTTTGTTGCTGTCCTCTCGAAGGAAAATGAGCCTTCATCTCGCGGAACTGTTGCTCCTTGCTGTGGCATGTTCTGTGCTGTCTTCTCATTTCCAAGAGAAGAGTGGGGAATGCTTATGTGTTACGGTTTTAGATCAATGTCACTGGATTATAATCAATGCTTTTTCCCGCCACAGATATTAACGAGTGTGAAACTCCCGGGATCTGCATGAATGGACGCTGTGTGAACACGGATGGCTCCTACAGATGCGAATGCTTCCCTGGACTGGCCGTGGGTCTGGATGGACGTGTGTGTGTTGGTAAGCTACAGTCATGGGTTAGATGTAGGACAGAAGAGCCACCCTCTGTCCATCAGCGACACCCATCAATAACAACTAGGTGCTTACTTTAGGAAGTATGATAATAATAATAAGTATTTGCAGAGCAGCAAACCAACAAGGGTCAGTTCGCTTCTTGCATACATTGGATATCCAGTCAAAGAGTGAAAAGAGGAGCTGAGACCACCAAAGCAATGCCCACCTTTTCTCCCCACTGCCAAGCCACTGATCTCCCCGCAGTACTCTCCGACCCTGGCTTGTTGCTTAGTGGTCTTGAGTACTACCCTCTACATGCTCAGAATCTCACCATGAATATTGTAATAGAGAGCGAAATTGTCAGAGGGATGTATAGAATGCAAAAGAGAATATGGATAATCCACATGCTTAGAGTTACATGATAATACTGTCTTATGGCTTCATACAGAGTAAGGTTTGTTAAGAAGTAGGTAACCGGTTTTCACAAGACTATTTTTAAGGACAAGTTTTGAGTAAGCACTGGGGCTGGGGAAAGGTTTGAGCAGAACTGGAGACCCCTCCTTCTTGGGAAGGATCCCACTGCTGCGTGAACCCACCTCCACTGTTTGATAGCATGACCTTTTAACAGGCTAATTGCCCCTCTCTTTGAAAAGTACACTGAATGCAGACACTGGACAATTACTTGGGGGGATAAGTCATATTTCTAATAAAGATTTTCTTTATCATGGTAGGAGATTCAAGATTTATCCTTTCATTCAACCTTTATTAAGTACCTGTCCCGTGTGGCCTAGAGATGACAAAAATGAATGAAGTAGGATCCCAGCACATAGGGACCTCACAGTTTGCTAAACCAAAATAGCCCCTGAAAGATGAAAGAGCCCCATTTATGGTACCAGGGCTTAGAAGCGGAATGTTATTTCTCCCCTACCACCACCCCCGCCCCCTGCCCCCCGCCCAGTGAGCCCTAATACCAGAGGCGTTCTCTGCAACTTAGAACAGGGATGGTGGATAAAGGAAGCCAGCTTGAACTTTGACCTGGAGGTTCTCATCTGGTTTGAGGCGACAGAGTGATGACAGATGCTTCTTCCTGTTTAGACACACACATGCGGAGCACATGCTACGGGGGATACAAGCGCGGCCAGTGTGTCAAACCCTTGTTTGGTGCCGTGACCAAGTCTGAATGCTGCTGTGCCAGCACGGAGTATGCCTTCGGAGAGCCTTGCCAGCCGTGTCCCGCACAGAATTCAGGTGTGTGGTGGGATGGAGATGCCCATCTGTAACCTTTTCCCTGACGGACGTGCATGGGGAAGGGTTATGTTCGCCGCTCCAGGTGCTTGCTCTGGGGTCTTGGCAAAGGCAGAGTGGAATCATCACATATTTCTCACTTCCCTGTGGTGTTATGGATGGTATTTACAGGGTCTTCATGATCACTTGCAATAAGCAGGACATTTGTCCCTTCCTTGAGAAAGCCCCACTGAATAACACCCTGTTCCCTGGCATACATATGTTCAGCATGTCTGGTGTTCTAAAGGAGCTTCACAATATGTTTGCATTTTGCAGGCAATACCCATTCTAGAAGCAGGACTGTGCATGGTGTCAAACGAAATAATTGCCAGATTACTTGAATATTTCCAATTTTTTCTGGAACGCCATTTGCAAATTTTGTTCACATCCACATACTGATTTCGGTCTGATTTTCCTATGATTTTATTCAACCTTAATGGGGAAAATTGTTTTTCCTTCAGTTGAAGTGGCCTGGAATAATAAGAGAGAACTGATGACAAATGAGAATTCTGTTCCTGAGTCCACGGGCAGTTCTCAGCGGATTTATGTTTACTTAGGATTTTCTCTCACCTCTTTGCATTTGAGATGGCTTACATTAACTAACAATTATAAACTAGCATAAAATAGAAAATAATCCTTACCTTTCTCATCAGTGAGATGGAGTTTTCTGTTGTTTGGGGTTTTGTTTATTATGATCCATAGTGTCTTTTCCAATTGTAAATCCCTTCTATTTATCATGTCCAAATCATTTGTTAAAATGAAAGCAATAGACTGTCAATGTTTGATTGTAAACTTAAGGTAGCTTGACGGTTGACTTCCGGATGTCCTAAAATGCAGTTGGGTTTAATAGTGACAGCATGTTGTTCTGATTGTTGGGTATATGTCTAAGATCTGGTCATTTCATTTCTGGCCTAGATAAACTTAATTACAGATAAATCCACAATCAAAAAATATTTGTCAATTCAAAGTGATAATATTTGTAATTATAGAGTTATATATTTATAAGGTAGGGGACTTTAAAAGAAATGGGAGATGCTGATTAAGCTGTATTCTGACTGATTATTGTACTGAGTGACTCTGATACAATTTGTTACTTTTCATGTGCTTGCTAGTCCATTAAGTATGTGTGTCTAATATAGTATATGAATATAACTCTACCCCCTATGTATGCTTCCATATAATTTTATAGTTACATATAGTCAGATCTGTTTATGTTGCTTTAATTACTTAAAGTACAGATAAATATCATGGGTTCCACTTGACTAGTGATAAAAACATTGTACAGAGTGATTTGTCCGCAAGTTGATTGTATGGAAGAGCCAAAGCACAGAATACAGGACTCCGTGCATATAGTTCTCTGTTTCCGTGTTTTCCTCTAGTCCAAGTGCGTCTCCCAAGAGTTCTTAGGGTCAGTATACAAAGGATGCTAGCTTATGAAAAGATGAGCCGGGCCAGCAAATCTAGGACCTTTTCTAAATCGGAGGTTCAGTTCCACCAGCTTCTGTTTCATATTTGAGTGCATTGACGAAGGAGAATCACCCGTGTGCAGATGGTTTCCTTCAGTCGGCTTTGCTGACCTCGTTGATGAACAGCAATACCAAGCTGTGAAGGAACTGCATGTACACTAGTCTTCACATCAAGAGTGAGAAGGAATCTGTGAAAGATACTCAGATATCCAGAAAGACTATTGTTAGCCGCTTTAGTGAGAACTCTGAACGTGCAACATCTACACTCATCAAGTTGCATACGAAGAAGGTACTTCCCGCTGGCTCATGAAGCTGGTTCACCTTGTTCGGATAATTTTCTTGTCCCTGGGTTTTCAAACAATAACATTTGTTATTAGAATCAGCCAGCAGAACTCTTAGGTTATACTTCTGGTGAACATTCTTATATGTCTCCTGTATCGCTGTCTCGGTGGTACGACAGAGAGTTTGCGCACAGTAACATTTACCATTTATTAAGTACTTGAACTGCCCCCCCCCCCAAGGTGCAGAACACGCTGCATGGTATCACATGACGTCTGGAAGGTCCAGCCTTTTAACAGAGAAGGCCCTTAGGAGTGGATGTACAATGGAGGGAAAATAATGACACAGACATAGCACATAGGGTGCTCATCTTTTCAGATGTCAGGATCAAGAGAGAAAGAGAGAGTGAATGCATTCTCTAACAGGCTTATATAGTCCTGGGGCTAGCAAGCCCCAGTGAGCACTTACATAACAACAAGGTGGGCAGGTACTGGAGTTATGATGGCGACTGGACCTTGAATGCCCCTGAGCTGACTCAATCTTGGATGTTCCTGAGCTTTCTCCAAGGGAACAATCTATGATCAGTATCAGAAGGGAGTAGGCTATGCTTTGGGAGAAGTGCACAATAGAGCATGACTGCTCTTTAAGGACAGATGGCCTCCAGGTATATCTCAGGAGTAGCACTATTGAGGGGAGAGGGGATATTGTGGGGATGACTTTTAGTCTGGAGAAGGTGGCTGGGACTCATCCTATCTCACACATGTGAAGGCCTTCCTCCCCTAGAGTCAGTCTCCCAGACTCATAATTAAGAGCGTGCAGAATTTGACCACAAACATTCCCTTCCCAGCCCTCAGTTTCCAGTAGAAGTCCATCACCTGAGCTGGATATCATGAACCCTGGTCTATAAATTGGGCAATGACAGACTCCCAAGGCCTTTAGCAGGAAGTCCTACAGTCAACATCCAAGCCCATGCAGATCCGAATACACAACAAATAGTCCAGTACCAGATCTCACCTAGATGGACAACAAGCGATAGTCATTTGCTTCCATTTTAGGCCATGTAGCAGCTAATGGCACTGACTGTAAAAGTGTACTTTACAAAATGGACATGATTTTGGTTTTCCTGTTTGATGTACAGTGTTTCAGTGATCATTCAATAATCATTAATATGAGAGAATATAAAGGGCATAGTTCCATGTTTCCATTTATTTTCTTTTGGACTCTTTTATAAATATTTAAAAACAATTTCACAAATTTCCATTTGTCAGAAGGCATAGGCTCTGAAGGATTCAACCTTAATTTTGGGGGATATAGTCATTTGTTCAAATAACGAAGCTGTCCAGGATTTGATAGACTTGGATTCCTAATCAATGCTCATGGGAGCAGCAAATGGGAAATTGAACAATGTATCACATGGGGCAAATCTGCTGCAAAAGATGTCTTTAATATATTAACAAGCAAAGATGTCATTTTGAAGACTAAGGTGCCCTGACCCAAGCCATGGTCTTTTCCATCCCATGCTGGACACTGAGTAAAGAGGACTGAAGAAGAATTGATGCCTTTGAATTACGGTGTTGGCAAAGAATAGGGACGATACCAGGGAGTGCCAACAGAATGGAGCAACCTGTCTTGGAAGAAGTACAGCCAGAATTCCCCTGAGAGCAGGACTTCATCTCACATACTTTGAGCATTATCCAGAAGGGCCAATCCCTGGAAAAGGACATCATGCTTGGGAACATAGAACGTCAGAAAAAAAAGTAGAAATCCCTCCATCAGATGGATTGAAAAAAAGCTGGTAACCACCGGCTCAAAGATGGCAAGGATTATTTGGAAGGTGTAGGATTGGGCAGTGTTTTGTTCTGTTGCACACGGAGTTGACATGTAGCATCAGAGACTGAATGGCACCTGACAACAGTGCGTTGCATTGGGTACATGTACTGTACAAGACTTTGAAGAGTACTGTGCCCGTCTGGGTACTTTAGAGAAACAAATCCACAGAAACTCATGTATAAGAGAGAGTTTTATGTAAAGGTTAAGTGCACATCAAGAAAACATCCCAACCCAGTGCTACCCAAGCCCACAAGGCCAACATTAACCCATTAACCCATATGTCCAACACCAGTCCACAAAGTCCTCCACCTCACAAAACAGAGGCAATAATGCCGACTGTAGGAGGAAAGCTGAGTCAGTGAATGTGTAAGCATCTCAGCGCTGGCAGGGGTCTCCACACGGCTGCTCCAGCACCCAGGGCTGCATCAGGGTAGGTCTATGTGGCTTCTCCTCAGGGATGTGTTGCAGGAAGTGAGCCTTGCCAGCTGAAGCAGGGAACTGCTAAGGCAGCTGCACCCTGGCCGGACCATCACAAAGCAAGAGACCCGAGAACTCTAAAGGTGAGGCTCACCGAGCCATTTATCCCTCCGCCCTTCAATTAACCCCACATGTGTTTATCAGCCAGGTTGGCAGAATCAACTAACTCAAGTACCGAGAAACAAAGATGTTACTTAGGCTAAGGAGTGCCTGACCCAACCCATGCGATTTTCAGTGGTCTCATATGAATGTGAAAGTTGGACATTGGATAAGGAAGCCCAAAGCAGAAACGATGAATTTGAAGGGTGGTGCTCTAGATGACTATTGAAAGCACTGTGGCTGCCAAAAGGATAAAAATCGGTCTTGGAAGAAGGATGGCCAGGGTGCTCCTCGGAGGCAAGGATGGCGAGACTTTGTCTCACCTATTTTGGATATGTTGTCAAAGAGACCAGTCCCTTAAGAAGGACATCATGCTTGGTAAAATAGAGGGGGTAACGCAAAAGAGGAAGACCCTCAATGAGATGGGTTGACACCGTGGTTGCAACAGTGGGCTGAAGCACAGGAGTGATTGCGAGGATGGTGCCTGAGCAGGCCGTGCGTCCCTCTGTTGTGCATAAGTGGGGACGGGCTTGATGGCACCCAACAATGACACAACAGTAGCAGCACCAACTCATTTGTGTCGACTGTCACCAGAAATGCCATCAGAAGTGTGAGAACTTAAACTTTGCTTCCCCACGGAGGTGTTGTCAACCTTTGTAAAAAGACCTGTCCCTGATATCCAGTTCGCTTCTTCACTTAAGCAAGAATGATTCATATTTGACCATGAGCCTCGGTGTCGGCCAGAAACAATGGGTAAAGAAGAGGACACTTCAGTTTCTTTTTCTTGAGTAAAGTGTGATTTCCGTTCATGCTCCATTTTCATCATTTGCTCGTATCGCTTGAATTGTAAATAAACCATTATAACAATCTGAAGAAATACGAGTCTAATTCAATTACACATTTGGGAATGTATTTGATATAACTCAATTTATTTAATAAGATCTTACAGTTTTAACATTAAACGATGTTTTCTTTCTCTTTGCATTCATCCCAGAGAAAGAATCTCATATGGTGATATATATTAGCTTTAAAAATACACATTAAATGCAAAGGTAAATACTTTGTTGCACTGAGACTGGAAGTTAGAGAACTGCAGAGAAATGAGAAAAGTTAAGGACTTGATTGTTCTGACAAACAGCTCTTAGTAAGAAGCAAAATTATTCCCAAGATGGTGAAAGGAAGTTCTAGTTAACAGTCAAGAAACCACATTCTAACAGGCACATTTCACTCTAAGTGTAAAGTGTTCCCTGGTGAAAAAAAAAAAAATCAAGTGAAAGGAAAAACACCTTTTCCGAAAGTGCTTTGCACAAGGAATTGGGGTAACTGGCCCATATCCTTTAAAAGTCATTTTCCTCAGTGATTTACCGTGTTAAAATAGCGGGGGTGGGGGTGGGGGAGACGGAGGCGGGAGGCAGTCGTGACTCCACTGGCACATGCCTCCTTTTCCATTACCACTTCATTTCAGTTCCACTGGCTTCGGAGGAAACTGTGTGCAGAGCCAAGCGTAGTACCGACCCGTGCTGCGGACAAGGGAATCATTTATTGTCTGTTGATTTCTTACAGCGGAATATCAGGCACTCTGCAGCAGTGGGCCAGGAATGACGTCAGCAGGCAGCGGTAAGGATGCCTTGTGAAAAGTAGTACCTTAGGCCTGGGTGAATCAGCACTGGGCCTCCCGTGTGTTTCCAGTCACCCCCTTCACACCGACAATTGGTCTGGCCTGACCCCCTCTCTGGCCATCACTGCATGGTATAGCTGGGACTTCTAGAAGCTCCCAATGGCAACACAGCCATGGTATAGGGGTCCTGGGGTTGCTGTGGTCAGGGATAGCTATTGAAGGGGGTTAGGTGCATTGCCAACCTGGTAGACGGAAGTCTGTGGGTCACAAGGACTTTGGTTGCTCATTCAAGAGAGAGGGAGCCACTACCATAACTCGAATTCAACCTTGCAAGTCTGGCTAGACCAGAG